CCCCCCCCCCCCCCCCCCCCCCCCCCCCCCCTCCGCTCCCCTTTGATGGCCCCCCCTTAACCCCGCAGCCTCCGATCGATCCTTACACCCCTTCATACCCCCACCCGACTAACTGACCCACTCCTCTTGGAAACGGTATCTCAAATGGACTCGGATGACGCGTGCATCGAACAAGGCTACATGGAGCCTCCCGGTACAGGGGCAGGGAGAACTACATCTCAGCAAGACGAGCCATGAGGGCTAGGGATGGAGGATGTTGCTTCTGCGGAAGAGCAGTATGGATGGGACAGGGAGAACTGCATTTTAACCAGACGAGCTACAAGGGATGAGGAAGGAGAATGTTGCTTCTGTGGAAGAGCAGTATGGATGGGACAACAGAACACAGGGCTGAGGCATACACTTATGACAAGTGGGAGTGATTCACCATTCATGCGATGAGAATGCTAGCCCAGCCAGAAGAGCCTCAAGGGATAAGGAAGGAGAAAGCTGCTTCTGCGGAAGAGCACTGTGGATGGCACGGATAGCACAACATAAAACAGGGCCGAAGTATATCCCTATGACAAGGGGACCAGGGTATTGGGTTTAAGGGATTCTATAGAGTGGCACCTACACTACATCATGAAGGACCACAGAGGATAGTGAGGAAGCCAAGAAGCGTTATATGGGATGCTAAAGATTAAGTTAGATGTAAACATGACGGGTTGACAGGCACAGACATAGCATCAGTCTAATAGGGGGCTGCAAAAATAAGGGCTGGGTTAATAGATAAGGGATGTTCCTAAGCAGGGAAGGGCGATTCTTGCAGCACCATGGGATGACGGAGCCCCAGGATCAATCAAACAACAATCACAGCCCCGGGAAACAACAAAAACCAATCTCTGTACCAAAAGATGTATCAATGGGACGCTGGACCCCGTTTCCAGCAGGTGCCGCTCCCCACCAATAGATGGAGCAGCCCCACAGGTAAGCCCTCAATTCTGACGGTTCTCTTACCACCGCCAGGATAGAGGGATATCGTAAGGGCCTTCCCAAAAAAAAAAAGAGCAGGGGCATCTACGCTTAAAACGCAATTTGCAGGCAAACCAGAACACACACAATACCCCACAACAAAGAAACACAGAAGATGGGAAGGCAAAAGACAATAGAGGCAAAGGGCCGGGAGGCCACATGGCATTGGATGACAAGGGGCAGCAAGGCACGTCGACAGGAGGCCACGTGGGCAGACAAACAGCACAAAGCATTGAAGGCAGTGAGGAAAAAAACAGCGAGCCTAGAGGCAGCAGGGGAATAAACAAAGGAAAGCACGGGTACCCAAAAAAAGACAGCACGGAACGAAAAAAAAAAAAAAAGCTGACGTTGACATGAAGATGAGGAGACGAGGGCGGAGGCACCATAGGAGGTGGTGCACTAGGTGGTCCAGGAGGAGGAGGAGGTCGCGGAGAAGATGGAGGAGGTGAAGAAGAGGTGAAGGACGAGAAGAGGAGGACGAAGCGGCGGAGAACATGGAGAGGAGGAGGAGGAGGAGGAGGAGGAGGAGGAGCAGGAGGACGAGGGGAAGGAGAAGAGGAAGAGGAGGAGAAGAGGAAGAGGAAGAGGGGGAGGCTAATGATGAGGAGGCAGACTAGGAGGAGAAGAAGGAGAGGAGGTAGAAGGTGGGGGAGGAGCTAGTGGAGGCGGAGGAAAGGAAGAGTAACATATGGAGGTGGAGAAGGAGGACGAGAAGGAGGAGAAGGAGCCGGAGGAAGAGGAGGCGGCGGAGGCGAAAGAGGGGGGCCGGAGTAGTAGGAGGGGAAGGCGAAGGAGGAGAAGAAGAGGAGGCGGAGAGGATGTGGAGGAGAGGACGAGGAAGTGGACGAGAGGAAGAAGAGGAGAGGAAGAAGGGGAAGTGCAGGAGAGGAAGAGGAGGAGGAGTCGAAGAAGAGGAGCCGGAGAATATAAGAAAAGGAGCAAGAGGCGAACGAGTGGGAGAAGCAGAGGCGAAGCCGGAGGAGGCCGAGGATGTAGCGAGGAGATTGAGGCGAAGGACGAGAAGAAGAGGCGGAGGAGGACAGAAAGAGGCAGAGAAAGAGAAGAAGAGGTGGAGGACAATAAGAAGACGCGGAGAACAAACAGAAAGAGGCAGAGGACGAGAAGAAGAGGAAGAAGAGGAGGAGGCGAAGGGGGATGAGAAGAGGAGGAGGAGGAGGAGGAGAAGAGGACCGGAAGGAGGGGAAGGAGGGGGGAGGCGGAGGAAGAGAAGAAAAGGAGCAGGCGAAGGAGGCGGTGGCGGTGGAGGAGGAGGAGGAGAACAAGACGAAGAGAAGAAGAATTAGGAGGAGGAGAAGGAGGCGAAGGAGGAAAAGGAGGGGGCGCAGAAGGAAGAACAAGGAGAGGAGGACGGGTACTAGACGGAGGTGGAAGAAAGAAAAATAAAGGACACGAAAAGAGAGAGAAACACTGAAGGACAAACGAAAAGAGAAAGGGAGAGGCAGAGAGAGAGAGAGAGAGAGAGGGCGGAAGACGACTACGAAACACATGTAATCTCCCACGGCACAGCGATGGCTAGGTTCGCATATGTAGAGAGCGCGCTTTGATGGACAGAGCAACCAGTTGGCTTTTAAACAGGAGAGGGAAGGAGGAATATAGAAGGCTGAGGAGAGGAGAGGAGAGGATGCAGCGGACAAAACGCCGCGGGTGGAAAAAGGAGAGGGAAGGAGGAATATAGAAGGCTGAGGAGAGGAGAGGAGAGGATGCAGCGGGAACCTGTAAATGGTGACCGTACGGTAGTAGGCAACCGACGACAGGCGAGCGAAAGAGGGGGGGGGAGGGCCAGCGGGGGAGCGGGGGAGCGGGGGAGCGGGGGGAGCAGGGGGGGACGGGAAGGGGGGGGAAACAACACGGACGAAAAGAAGAAGAAACAGGAGCAGAAACAGAAGAACAAAATAACAAACGAAATAAGAGAAGAAAAGAAAGAAAGAAAAAATGTTAAACATACAGTACCTGCGGAACAGCGAGAGACGACCGTCGTTCGCCGTACCAACCTTCCACTTCCCTTGCTTCTATTTATAGATCGTCAGCTCCCACTTTCCGCTAGCTTGTCCCTCTTTGACGTGACCACTCTCGACGCTCGACGCGCCATGCAAGATGTCCACCCCCATTCCTTGCCTGCCGAGTCTCAACCCCCTCCCTTCCGATCCCCAGCATCCGCACCCCAACCCCCTCTCATGTGACCTCCCGGGGTCCTTCCCCACATTTCATTTCTGCTCTGTTTCCGCTCTGTGCCCCTTTCTACAGCCTAATGTTCCAAAGATACGAATGTCCGACTCACTCTCCAAGGGGGGGCGGGGAAAGGGTTGTAGAGCGGGCTCAGCGGGGGACGGGGTGGAAGGGGGGTATGGATGGCAGGGGTGGGGGGGGGCAGAGAAGGTAGCCAATTGTCCGTTGGGTGGCCCCATTCCTGGTGCCACTGGGTTTTTTTTTTTGTTTTTTTTTTTGTCTGGTTCTTCTCGAAATTGCGGCATGCTTTGACGAATTGACTGAAAAAAAAAAAAAGAATTGATAACCGCCTTGGCCCATCCTCAGCATCTGTTTCTCTTTTCTGTTTTATACGGGAGGCTTTATGTTGCTCTCTGCCCCACTACTGGATTTTGCGAGCAGGGTAAAATAGAGACCAGAAAGAGAAACCCCCTCCTCCTCCTTCATCACTCCTCCGGAACTGACATCCACTCTTGGGAACAATGGGAAGCACGCACTTTTCACAAGGACTGTTGCACTTCTCGGGCCTCATGGTACAGCAACGACACGGATTATGGCTATGCTCCCCCATCTTCACCGTCGTGACCATCACATCCCAATCTCTGAGTCTGATGATCTGACTGTACCGTACTTAGTTTTTACTCACGAAAGCTTTTACTCACGAAGTGTACCACCTCCGCCGGTGTCGGCAGCCACCGACTTCTGAAAATTCACTTGGGCGCAGCTCTCAACCAGACGGCTTGCTAAAAATAGAAATTTGTGTCATGGACTTGTGACCATCACATCCCATTTTGTCTCTTTTGTGTATAGGACTTGTGAGTTCTTCACTTGGACATGCTGTGTGGCGAAGAGTCTTTTTCTGTCGAAAGAGGGAATGTCCAAAATTTCCTGACATATGTCGAATTCCGTGATGTTTCGACATTCAATTTGGTGTGGCGACGCCCTTACTGTGAATAGCAGCGAACGTATGTTGCCACCTTCTGTGGGCGGATGCACTCGTTCTTTTCCGTTCTGTGGGCTGATTCACTCGTTCTTTTTCGTTTCGTCTTTCGCGAGGCGAGGTCCTTACGTTTTTTTTTAACAGCGCCGTCGGAGGCGCCCAACCAGAGACTGATGCCCGCCTCCACCCCGAGGCGAGGTCCTTATACACAGACACGATTTTTTTTATTTTTTTTCCCACTCGTTCTTTCTTCTGTTTGATTGATGGCTGTGTTTAGAATCCTGCCTTTAGATTCTCAGTCCCTTTGCGGAACGCCTGATTCCTTGCTCGTTTTGTGAGTTGCGTCTTAGCCCCCTCCTCGGCCCTTCTCTCCTTCACACCCTTATCAGTAGGGGATTACTGGTGACAACTGTGTTTCCCCTCTTCCAGGGGGGGGGACGGTGATGCCCTCCTGGCTAGGGGGACGCAGTAGCATTTGTAAAGGCACGCCGGGCACGGGTCCGGGCCCGGGCTCGGCTTGTATAATAAAGTTTGTTTCTTCAACAAAAAAAAAAAAAAAAAAAAAAGTGAAATTGAGAGACGAATATAGCTTAGTTAAAATTAAAAAAAAAATAAAACAGGGAAAAAAAGCGAAGTGAAATTGAGAGACGTATATAGCTTAGTTAAAATTTAAAAAAAAAAAAAAAACAGGGAAAAAAAAACGAACTCGCCCCAGAATGAATCCATTTCATTCATCTACTTGCATACGGATTTGAACTGCGGTATCTATTTCAACAGTTCGTGGATGTACCGGCGGAGTTAGGCCCGCCCGCTGATACGCTATTCTTTCTTTTCCATCCACCTGACAGACAATTCTAATAGGAATGAACTTTGAGGTTCTCAGAAGGCTCTCAGAGGTTCTTTCTCACAACGTTCTCAGAACGTTCTCAGAAGGTTCACAATGATCCCAGAAACAGCAATAATTATTCCAGATCTGCGCTCATCTGGTTAACTACCTAATTCGTCAATCGCAAGAAAAATAAACCGACGCCGTCCCTATTCATAGGATCCCCATTCCAGATAGGACAAGCGTCAGTTTGCCATTAGCACCAGAGCAAAGCTCAACCGTAACTCTCAAAGAGCGCTCGTACTGAGGAGAAAGCACAATCCCAGAGACGCGCGCACCCCTGCTAGAAAAGAGAGAGAGAGAGAGAGAGAGAGAGAGAGAGAGAGAGAGAGAGAGAGAGAGAGAGAGAGAGAGAGAGAGAGAGTTCGCAGCCAGCGAAAAGACCCGAAGAACACAAAAAAGAGAGTATAACAACCCCTGAGACAGGCCATCAAGGCGGTACTAATCACAAACCCTTGTGCTGAGCTACCGCTCATACAGCAATATTGTTATTTTTCCTTGAGCTTATGATGATCGTTTATATAAATTATGAGGAAAGTTTCAAAAATAGCGCGTAGCGGTAGCTGCACAGCAAAAATATTGGCGGGCCCCAAGTTTCATTCCAAAAATATATCTTTCCAACGGTATTAAGTTTATAGTACTTTATAGTCATCGAAGAGAAGTATTCAATTTCCCAATCTTACTTCCCAATCTTACCAATCCGTGCAAGAGTCGACTGACTGAGCTTCGTTACCTGTGCGCGCGCGTAGATGCGCCTCCTAGTCGCTCGATCCATCCACGTTTCAGCGCCCCGCTGCCGGACGAGATGGTTCGACGTGTAAGCAAAGCAGCGCAAGACTTACGGCCAACCCCCCCCCCCCCCCCCCCCCCC